TTGGCGCGGGGACACATACATGCCACGTGCACTTGGCGTGTTACGAAAGCATCGTCGAAGGACATGAGACGAAGTATTCTGTGGGCAGATTACTACCGCACGTGATACCACACCTTGCCCCAGACCTTCTTAGTGTAAGTTATCTCAACACTCACAGAGAAACACTCCACACTCAACTGCTGTGTATATCGTGCACACGAATAAACAACACATGGTATGCACTTCGTACCTAAACGTATGCTGACATACGCAGGCACGAAAGTTCCCGCAGTCAAAATCCCGATGGTTCTCAATCGCGTGCATGTACAGGCTCATAATCTCACACATGTGGTAGGAAACTTCGCCCTCTCTTCCCCTGCTGGTGTAAGCCGACAGTCTCGATACCGAACCGTATATGGTTGCCATACACGTCGGTGGTGCTGCTGTGCAGCTCGCCTTTTCCATTGCGGAGCATCACTGATCACACAATTTATTGGGCATGAGTGTGGGGTCGACAGGCCAGCATTCTACACACCCTGCGGTGTACATATCGTGGGCTGGGCGTTACCATTGCGCAGGTGTTCGTACGTCACATGGCGATGTCATACCGGAACACAACAAGTCGGGCACATGTGTCACATGTCACATGCTCTCCTGAATCCGCTTCGAAACATACCGACAAGTGCGGTCGAAGTACCGGCCAATCTCTCACCGTGAAGCACCGCTGCTGCCCAGCTGCCTCACGCCAGCACGAGCGGCCGCTCCGCGAATAGAAATCATCTTGAAAAACTTCCCCTCGAGCAGGAAGATGAGGCGGTAGTTGTCGTCTGTCGCTGTCCGCGGTCTGTCTCGGTTATGTGTGTGCAGCGCTTCCGTCGGTGACGAGCACACGAATCTCCGAAGAGCGGCGTGTAAGTACAAGATTGGGAGATTTGGGAGATAGTAGTTTTTTTTATGGTTCTTCGGAGATCCCCTCGCCACCTCTCTCGCCCGATATCTACTGCTGTACTGCTGTCTGCTCTTTCCATCGATGACCAGTGGGAAACAACCATTGACGACCAGTGGGATACAAGGGGCGGCCTCGATTCCCTCGTGGAGGCCTTGAGGCCTTGAGTCAAGTGTGCGAGAGAGGGGAGGCGCATTGTCATGTGGTACCCGGCTGTGCACGAGCAGCTGCGGGGGATCGTGCCGTGTGATTATTAAGATACAACACCCCCTGGATTGACTTTTCAAATCTCGATTACTCCATATGGCGAAGACAATGGCCAAAACCAACGGTGCGTTTTTAGAACAATCGTAACGAGAGATGGCTCATACCCCGCCTTTCGGAATGGTCATTACGTGCTGCTGTTTGTGCTGCACGATCGAGTATAAATTCCCAAGGGGTGAGGTGTTTACGCATCGTTACGATCGGCCGTGAACTCCAGGGCATGCATGCATGGAGATTTAAGTGCGCATGTTGTAGGATCAAGGGATTTCACGGACCTTTTTCCAAGGCGACAGGTCGCAATGATGATGCGGCGTTGTACGGGGATCAATCCTACGAAAAGCCTGCTTTCTAGAGTTGTGAATCGGTACGAAAAAACGATATATTTTACATCGGCTGCGCAGCAGCCGATATAACGATATTTTCTCCGATATATCGCCTACGGCCGAGCGCAGCGAGCCGTGATGGGGGCGAGCGAAGCGAGCCCCCCCATCGGCCCCCCCCGGCTGGTGAGGGGGCCTCGCCGGAGGCGCCGCCGGAGGCAGAAAATTTGGTGCATTTTCCTTTCATTTCCCGTCAAAATGGGCCCAAATGCGGCATCAAAAAGGGCTTGACTTCAGCTGCAAACATCGCACGGAATGTAGAAAAAAAAAAAAAAGATTAAGATTGATGTATTGTCGCGTATCCTCAGCAGTACCCTCCTTCGGTCTCTCCCTGTGTCTACTTCCCGGTTGGTTCTGGACATGAAAGCCAGCACTACGGCACTATGGATACAGCACTAGCGCTTATCTACCTCCCTACTACCTGCGCATGCAACGTGCAACCGAAAAAAGAAAAAAAACGAGCAAACGAGAAGGAACAAAAATTAAATGATCACTCATGGTGCTGTTGTCTGCTGTTTCTGCGCTGCTGTGCTGTGTGTGTGTGGCGTACAGGGGCTCCGTACTGCTGCGCATACCCTAAATTTGATTCACGGAGCCCCTAAGAAAACATCGGTCGGAACATCGGCACGAATTTTCGATACCGATATCGATATATATCGGACGATATATATCGTGTACATCGTTCCGATTCACAACTCTACTGCTTTCGCTCGAACAGCGTCCCTTAGACTCGTGACTAACGCAACGGAAAAGTCGTGCAATTTTCCACGGAACGGTGAAAAGATAACCCGACGTTTTATTTTCACTTGTTCTATTCGTAATGTCATCGCAAAAAAAAAGTACATTTCCTTCCCTGAATACACGCGTTGCTCGGCACACAAAAGTTTGACTTGGTGTTGCTCACCATAGAGCAGCGGTACAAACGCAATGAGCAGCATCCGACACAGAGAACAACACACTTGGAAATATCCTATCCACCCGGCCTGCTGTTTTCAATTTTCAGCAACAACAACAGGCGCAGGGCAGCGTGTCGCAACCTGGGTGTTACAGATCATTCATCTCGCCGCATTTTTTCCAACAGCATTTTGGTGAGGTGGCACACTTCTCTCACACAACTTATTGAGCAGCACCCAAGCACCCAATACCCACGAAGCAGCACGGCGCCGGGAGATGGTATCATATAGACAGCCGAACCGAAGGAATCAGCGCGTTGGAGGTCTTAGTGGTGCTGCTGTACTCGTTCTACTGTTTCAGTGTTTGCCATGTGTGATTGAAAAAAATTCTCCAGCACCAACAGAAGCAGTTGAAGACGAGAGCAACACGCAATGTATATAGTTTCGGACCAAGAACGGACTGAACGCCGCATCTGCCGCTTGTCCATCTCCATAACAGACCTGGACGTGAGTCTGGCAGGTCTTTCTAGCGTTATCAGTGATGTGACAGCGCCCGCGGTGCGGTTGTCCGATGCTTCTGTCAAAAACACGGATTCGTGAAAGTAGCAAGCCCCCCAATATCCCGGCTCGTTCTTTTCACGTTTTCGGGGAAAAACGCCTCCATATATGTTCAAGAAAACACGCTTCCGTGAAATGTTCCGTGATTTTTTGGTCGTTAGTAATACCCTTGCAACATACCCAAGCGTTCAAACCTTGGAACCAACGTGTGTGTTGTGGACGACCCGCACACCTCGTACCCATAGATACGTGGCATGCTGGACATAAAGTCCTACTACGTAACCGCAGCAGCAAACATTGTGGCGCTTGCTTGCGGTGTATTTTGAAAGAATTTTTTTCACAGAGGCCTTCGATCCGTTTGCAGAAAAATGTTTCTCTAAGTGTGCGTCGTCAGTTTTTTTCACGTCTTCAAGGCGCCGGTAGTCGGGAGCACGTGTGTCTCAGGCTTGTACACGCGCCTCATTCTGACGACCTGTCTTGTCCATGGAGCCTCTAGGACCGTTTTATTTTACCCAAGCGTCTATCATATGTCAGCCTCGTTCATTAAACCTTCTGAAAGTTATCAACCCCAAGCGCTGGGTGGAATCATCATCTAGACCACATTTACATGTACCACTTCGACAGCTCGCCTTATAGCGCGACCGAAACAAGAACAAGTCTAATCTATTTCCTGCGACCTATTACTGTGCAGACTAAGACCATGTCCAGACACCGCGCATTTATTTTGCCATTTTGATTAACATCGCTTGTACCACGTACATCGCTTTTTCTACCCCAAATCCACAAGTTACCGAGTAGAAAGATATCTGTCCACCCGCCTTGCATTGTTGATACTGCCGACACAAGGGGTGAACACGAACTCGAACTCACCGCTTCCTAAACCAACCATGTCCTTCCCGCACGCGGCACTGGGCGGGGGATCAAGCCAGAGGAAGTCGAGAGAAATCACGTAACAGCTAGCATCGACGCGCCTTCAAATCAGATCTAGTCTACTGTGCATGATGGGAGAAGACACACCGACCCGTCGACATCAATCAGTGTGTCATCAATGCAACTTATGAAAAACTCCCATGCGCACGTCGGCTGAGAAACAGGGTATTTGCGTACTTGTCTATCCTGTCTTCGGAGGTGTATATCAGGTCAGATGCACCGCCAGTTTTCTGTCCCTCATGTCCATAACCAAAAAATATACTTCGAAGTATATGAATATTCAAAATAGTTTCCAAATCAAACTAAACTTAAAGCGTACAATAACGAGCTTCAGCGCAATAAAATAAAATAAACGTGCATTTGCACAAACGGCGCGTGTTTCATTGGCGCTGGTGCGATATCCAGCGGGGATCCAAGCTACTCCATGACCACCCTCTCTTTCTCGATGCGTTCTCGCCGGTAATGGTTTTTGTCATCTGTGCCACCAGCGGCGTTGTCGGTGTTGACGGACTCTGTCATGTCTGGCAGTAGGCTGATTGTCCGTCCAACGGTCATTTGATGGGGTAATAATGCACATGATTTCGATACGCAAGAGAGAAAAGAGGGGAACGGCACAGCGAATTGGGGGAGATCAAGACCAGACGAATTAGGCGACCCCGGGCGGAAATTTCTCGCGAAAGGTAGGCGGTCGGTCAAGGAATGTCAGCATCGTTCAGAAGTATTGGGATGGCACTCCCAAAGTACGTACGCATTCTAATCTGCGCGGTTTCAGAATGCTGTAAACCCACCCTTGTACTCGTGGCTATTCGATAAAGGCTGACCATTTGACTACGTGCACAGTCATCGATGACTGTGCACGTAGTCAAATGGTCAGCCTTTATCTAATAGTGGCCTGGGTGTTTTCTGTGGCAATTCTGTGCGGGTGTTGGATCCTAAAGTTGGCGCTGTGTGCCGCTCCCGGCACACCCTCTCTCTTTCCCGCATGTCCCCCTGTCTTCTCCATGCCTTTATTTTCCGAGGACGACCATTTTTCTCTTTCCATGCATGTACTCACCTCAGTGGCCGTGCCCCGCTCCATAATTCGTGGCAGCTAGCCAAGAAGGGTCGACCCAAGCGACTGCCGCTTGGCGCCTCGCGTCTGAGATACAAGTTGGTTGTTTGGCTCTTCGTCACAAGGAAGACGTGGAAACATAGCAACCCCCCCACGAGGATCATAACCACAGCTGTCCATAGAGCCAACAGGTGGGGGACGAATTGGCTGCCCCTGCGAACAAGCGGGAAGCAAGGCAAGCAGGAGGTAGGGTGGGGGTTATGTATCATGAAATGCGGACGCAAACACGCGAAATACCTACCACCATACCACGAAGATTCCTTCAGCTCCACGACACGTTAATCTTGCCGCCCTTGTTACCGGCTCGTTTTGGTTCCACCGCCGCGGATTGTATTGACCACTTGAGAGACGCTAAACAAACATAGTGCAATTGGAGCTAAACAACTACGAGCGATTTGCAAGCAAGTACGACAACAATCATTCTCACGTTATTCTGGCCCAGTTCACGAGAAGGACCGGACCGACGTTGTCAGCTGGGGGGGCGACGATGTGCAGCATGCTTGACGCGCGGCGAAGAACGCGCTGATGGCAACCATAGAAATGAAGACCATGAACGCGCGATAGTTGCGTGCGCCGATGCAGTTGCCCGTGCTAGAAGGAACGAGTAGCAACAGGACAAAAGTCATGTAGGGCAGCGCGTTCACTCCTGCAGTGATCGAGATCGGCGATGTAACCACTCCAAAAATGTAGTCGTGCGACCGAGCACGTGCGGCTGCCACAAAACCATCCACGAGTACTTGAAAAGGGGGTTGGGGTGTTGCACATTCTAAGCATCAGCTTCTCAAATAATGGTAATATAAACTCAATTCATCATAATACCGCTGTGTTTCCTGCGACGTAAATATGCACACTACCCTGCGAAATGACTTACTATGGGCAGTGGTGATCGAATTCCATGACGCAGTTATTGCATCACTTGCAGTACTTGGCCCTCGGGGGACGCGCGAGCTGACACGAGCCACAGAACTTTCGCTCGGCAATGCCAGGAGAGGCCGGGTCCAATGAGTTCCACAACGCCAGCGTTCGTCGAGGAATGATCCCTGCCAAAGAAAACTAAGCCGCGGTGGGGAGTAAGGGATATTTGTGATGCTATACAAACACTTGCATATCGCGACCTCCTGGGAGGGGGAATAGATATACCCCAGGTACCACAAGCTTTTGTTCGTGAGGGTATTTCAAGGATGGGGTCCGGGACCCTTTTCTGTCTGACCCGACCTTGAGTTAGGGAAGAGGTTGCAGGGCAGGTAGAGACCTAGAGCGGCGTTCAATAAATAAGATGGTCATAAATCACCCAGGTCGTTCAAGGCGAAGTCGGAAAATTGAAACACACACCGACAAGACTCGTGTCACGATTAGAGCTCTATAATCTTCTGAGATCCAAAAAGTGAGGAGGGTAGTATCTCAGCCGAACTACGTAATTGAACAGCGAAGAGCAATAAGCCAAACCGAAATATTGCAAGATGCTGCAAAACTCACGCAGGTTCCTCGACGAAAACGAGAAAAGGTTGGGTCGAAATGACGTCACAGAGCAAAGGGATGTGAGAGAGCAGTGGCCGAAACCGGGTACACCCGGTGCAAACACGGCCATAATCGGGTACCCTCTACAAGACGCTACTGGAATCGACCGCATGACACCATCTGATTGGCCGACGCCCACTCCTACGCGACCTTGACCGTCTTTCCACCGGGTGCACCCGATCTTGACTACTCACCCCCCGGAGGGGTCCCCGGTTTTTCTTTCCCCTACCCGAAAATGGCTGGGCTGTTCGACCAAACCCCATGCACACAATCACGGGTCGGACGCACACCGCTGGCCCTCGTTTGTCGCCATGAGAAGGTAGCGGGAGGGAAAGAATATGTCTATTTTTCAGATGAGCCCCGTGTGTGACGTATCTCGTGAGGGAGGCATCAAGCTCTTCTTCTCGATCATTTGCACAGACCGCCTGCCGTTCCCCCCAAGGCAGACTTCCACCGCCGGCGGGTGGTCTTCCTCCCCCCGCCGGGCCGTCAAAACGTCCGAATTCGAGGGCAGGACATTGCTGACATGTGCATGTGTGCATGGGTTTTGGTCAAACAGCCCAGCCATTTTCGGGTAGGGGACAGAAAGAAAAACCGAGTACTCCTCCAGGGGGTGAGTAGCCAAGATCGGGTGCACCCGGTGGAAAGACGGTCAAGGTTGGGTAGGGGCGGGCGTCGGCCAATTTAGATGGTGGCATGCGGTCGCTCGCAGCAGCGTCTTGTAGAGGGTACCCGATTATGGCCGTGTTTGCACCGGGTGTACCCGATTTTGGCCACTGCTCAATGTGAGATCCAACAAGAAGGCGTCGTCCTCGGTAGACATCAACGAGATGTGACCAAAAATAAAAGAGCCTTTCAAGGGGGAACCGGAACCCGGACGACGGCAGGCGGTGAATCAAGCTTCCTCGTTTCAGTCTTCTACAACATATTGTTAACGAGTGCCCCATGTCCGCCACGTCATCAGAATTGCCAAGAAAAACGAATTTCTTCGCGTTCTTGGTGGTTGCCACCATCTGTTGGCGTGACGGGATTCGATTCGCATCTTCTGCCACCAGCATCACATAGCTCTTTGCCGACACCAACGAGGAAAAACAGAATCGTCGTTCGACGGCGTTCGGAAGTTGCGATCCTTTCTCGATCGCCTCGGCGTATCACTCACAATTAAACCATTTGTTTGCTCACCAGGGTCCATCATCGCCGTAGAAGCGAGTGAGACGATGCACCCCACGAACAGGCAAACCGAAACCGTGGAGAAGAAGGCCTGTACCCCGTACGTCGTGGCGGGAAGGCTGAAAAAATCAAGGGGAAGAGTGGGTGCGTCGATGTCTATCGTTCATCTTCGGCGCCTTTTTAGCTCTCATCGTTCCAACGGGTCAGTGGGCGAGCATCTGGACCTTCCTCCAAGAACATGCACAGCAGTAACAAAAACCGATACATATTGAGAAAGGCGAGCGAGCACGACACCAGTTTGTATGGGCCCAGGACTCGTGAAATGACCCTCCGGCAAGTGCGAAAAGGATTTGGTTCAACCCGTACTTCGAGCCATGGGTACACCCCGGGCAGTGTACGCCATCTTAGCTCTGAATTGTTTTTCGCGTACCTGATAAAAGTGAAGCACAACGCCGTCGTGAAGAGAAAAATTGTCGCGCTGAATGCCAGGGCCCGGCAGTGCGATCCAATCATAATTCGTCCTGAGCCAGAATCCACCCAGGTGATTGAGTAAAGATACGTTATCGTAGCAAGGGAAAAAGGAAGATCAATCCTAGCGTAACCTATTCACATCGTGTTTCTGCAGCCCTAAGTTGCTCACCCCCTGCGAAGAAAGTTGGCATTCCCTTGCCAGCACTCCCATTGCTGTTTGCGCTTGCGGAGAGATCCCACGTTCAGTTGCTCGTCCTCGGAACGCCTATTTCCACTGTCCGGGTGTACGTCCTGCACGGGAAGCCGGCCGTAACTGATTGGTGGTGGCACAATGTATATGTGTACGCGTGTGTACGCCACCGAATTGTGGGAGGCATCTCCTCATCTACGAAATAGCCTGAAATGAGAGTTACATGATGACAAAGCCTCTCAGCGAGCTAGTGCTGTGACTACGGGAAATTGGATTGGTATCGAAGGGGAATAAAGGTAATCGCGGGATAAGGGGGTCCTCGTACCGAGCATTGCCTTGGAGATTCGCGACGCCTGGATTTGCGCCCCCTGTTTGTCCATAAAGTGGCCCACGAAACAAGCGCGAAAAGCCCGAAAAGCCCCAACAGTGCCAGCACACCGGTCGAGGAAATCGTCACAAGCGCGCGACAAGAACTCCGACCATTGCAGGTTCAAAAGATGCACAACGTTGAGCCGAACTTCTGTCAAGACCTCGCTTTGTTGTCGGAGCGGCCAGGCCCAATCTGACCCACCAGGTGCGTCGCGTAGAGTAGTTCCGACACGGGACAAGCATGCCAAGGGTGGTGAAAACGTTGGCGAGGTCGAATTCGCCAGAATGTACTCTAGTGGCGGAGAAGAGGAGGTTTCGACGTGGTTAGGGTTATCGTATTGGCGCCATTCGTCGGCGAAGGTGAGTTCAGGGTTGAGGATATACCATGCATCGGCCGTACATCAAAAGTATCAAAAAGGAATATGCAGAGACAATACGCAGAAGCGTGTGGCCATGAATGGCACGAGGGATATGAACCTTTTTGACTCCGAATTCGGGGGCCGAGAGTGTCGCCATGTTCCTGGACAACAGATCTCGCGCGTGCACATGGTTCCATAAAACCGGTATCCTCTATTCTAGTGTTGTTGCAAATCGGACAGTACGTGCATCTCAGGTGCCAATGAGTGCCTTGCTCTCCCCTCTTGATTCTAGAATGGTCTCGAGAGTTGTACTGTTGAGCACGGAGGCTTTTCTGCCACACTGTCGCTGAATCGCAACACATCACGTTTCTCACCTAGAGATTCTGGCTGTGCAAGCTTCTGAAATGGCTCGACAAGCAATACTGCATGCCTTCCCTTGTCCACCAAGCCCAACCAAGCCCAACCACGTGAAGCGGGAGCACGTTCGCACGCAGCTGGCTTCTTCCCTCGACACGAAACGATCAGGTAGTTAAACAATCACGAGCCTCATTGCTAGAGAAAACATTTGCCCCCTCGACTACGTGGGTTAGATTTTTTCGATTTTTCAGTGTTAGTCCCCAACGGAGAACTTACATTAGAGTTGGCAGCGTGACTGCCTCACACGTAGGTGGAAGGAATGTCCTCTGTCTCGCGTGAATGTCAGCGTGTAACCTGTCGATGACGCTTCGCCACCCTCGCTTTGGGGGTCCAGCCGTGCCTCTGCTCCCAAAAGTGTCCGAGCTTTCCTCTGTTCCCGTTCTCAAAGCGCGCCACCACAGGAAGAAACCACCCATGTGACCACCCGTGTGGACGGCTGGTGAAAGAAAGGGATCGGAAAGGCTGGTTACTTCGACGCTCCACGCTACAGTAGGCTTCCAAGCTGAGACGTTCTACTCGCCGGAAACAGTTCGGTCCACCGGGTCGGAGTCCACCGAGTTCGAGCATGGTGTTGTCATTTCATGTGAACAATACGATGCCCGGAAGGCTGACCTGCTACCCAACCACGTGCTGCTTCACGCCCCATATGTAGACCACCAAAACGTAGTATGTACGTCGGGCTGTCTAATTAATACGGTCTGCTAATATATCTGCAGCGCTAGGCCATGCTGCCTACAGACGTACGTACCACGAAGGTGCTGGGCTCAACGTGTTTCAAGGTCAAACACCGGAGAAGAAAACCGTAACTGCCCGTGCTGCACATCTCTTTTTAAACCATCCGTGTGGCCGGAAGCCTTGCCAGGGAACCTGGGCATATCGCCTGCGCTTTCGCCGCCTCACACCCAGCGGCGAGCCATAACACCGAAAACATCCACATGATCATCAATGGAACAGCGCACAGCGCGGCGCCAGCGACGACCCGTGAATCTGTTGGAATGTCGTTCGATAACACGCATACGATGTGGTGAAGTTAACCCTGGGTGCATTTGTATAGCAGCGATGCTTCATGGAGTTTAAAAGCACACCATGACAAACAGTGAGTGGAAAATGGCTCAATTGAAGTGAAATGCAGAAGCACCCATCGAACGCAAATATATGGCAAAATACAAAACAGTCTACGCTATTGGGTTAAATATAATTTTTCTTTCCAAAAAATACAGAAAAAAGCAAATTTCCAGGATGCGCAGCAGAAACATTGACGAGTCGCCGGACACATGTGGACGGGGGTCGAACTTTTGTTTATCGAGGTCGGGCCTATATCGCTGGATTTCGAGCACCCTGAGCAAACTTTCGTTTTTTCGTGGAAGGAGAAGAGTACTTTTGTCTTAGCTGAGAGGTCTACACGTACATGCCCGTATCGCTGAATGCCTTTCGCCAGACACAGCTTCCGACAAGCCCTGTCTGGCCTGATACTTTGTCCGCAAGGATCAGGGTGTTCAGATCAGCGGTAGCCCCAGCCCAGGTGCGCAAAGGAAGAAATCGACAGGAAAGGCGTTGGATCATGCAACAACAGCTCCAGCACCAAGCGCAAACTGACTCGGGCGGGCTGACGCGGATTGCAGACTATGATATTGGCGACACAGGCTTCCCGACCCGTGAACTCTAGGTTAGGTGGCGTTGCTTCGTCAATCTTACGCGGTTCCTCGTCAAATCTTAGGCACCCACTCTGCTACACCCTTGTGTTGTCACCCATCCTATGTTTCCATGGGTTTGCATGTCGCAAACATAAGCCACACATCACATAATGTTCTTGCAAATCAAGGATCACATGATGCTATTGCGAACCTGGTGTTGGACACTAAGCACATTGATGGTGCGATCTGGCGCTGCGTACACTGCCGTAGCTGCCGTGTAGAGACGAGGAGGTTGTGAACAATGGATACGAACACGCCCAACAAGAGTTGATATACGATAGATATACTTTTTCGTTGTCGGACGATCCGTTTCATGTTTGTCAGCCAACAGGGGAGACGCAACAGCTCGATCTTTCGAATCGATACCCGCCGGAGTACAAGCAGCTGTGCTGTTCAGGCCGGTGGAACCGATCATTGGCTCTGCCTACACCGGGCGCCGCTCTCATCAACGCGGTCGCCTTGAACTTTGAACTCGGACCTTACATCCTTGAGCGTGTGGCGAAAAGGGTCTTTGGGTTCATCTCGAATACTTCCGAAATAGCTGACAAAGAGAGATTCAATGGTACAATGCCCGGCTTCCGGTCGAAATTGGCAAATTGACGACGAGTGTCGGATTATTGAGACAGTCTACGGTTCCCACCTGTGCTTTTTTTGACCTGAAATTTTGACACGAGCGGTTTTTTTGACCCGAGAGGTTACGCCGCCTCTTTCGGGTCAAAATTTCCAGGTCAGATTTTTCTGGAAGACGTGTCAAAATTCGGGGCAAATTTTTGTTTTGACACGAGGTGCCCCCGAAGCCCCCACAAAGCGATCAACTCCGCCTACCAGCTCGCAAAGCACTGCCGCACACCCACACACGTCTGCAAAAACAATCCCGGGAGCACATCGCACTCCTGCTGGTGCCAATCCGCGTCAGGGACGGTTGCGTTCATCGAGGGTTCGAGAAAAAAACAGGTCGAGGTTGGTCCGAAAACAAGCACAGGAGTGATTGCCAACATAACAGCAGTCGGGCGCCCCACCCGTGAAGGGGAGGTTTAGGGCTGCCTNCAGTTTGACAAGACCAAACATGGTCATCACGAGAAACAAGTCCTCCTCTCCGGCCAATGCGCAGAGCAGGGCCAGAGCCATGATCTGCATGCATTCATCATACCGCTCATAGCGGATTCTACCTCGTTCAAGGCGCGCCATTCCCTCGGTTCGTAGCGTTTACGGGGTGGAGGCTCCGAGGCTCAGCCGTTAGGTTTTCGGTCTTGCGCTGAGTGTTTTTTTAAAATCGAGATTTCGCCGCTGCTGAGCTCCGAAAGGTAACAAGCGGCGAAATAAGTTCGTGTCAAAATATCAACCGTCACTTTTTTTTGACCCGAGCTGCCTTGTGTCAAAATTCTCGGGTCAAAAAAAGGTGGGAACCCTACAGTACCGCAGGCTAAATTGCGCCGCATGTAACCGTGGATGACAGCAGTCCCGCCAAAGGCGCTGCAAACACTGGAGTGTACGTAGAGAAGTTACCATGCGCACCGGGACCACGTCATACAGATGAGGAGCACCTCGCCCGCACGAGCATGTGGTGGTGGCGATGATGGTGGTGATGACGGCGGGATCGTCTTCGGAGATAGGTGTGAGAGACGAGTGTTCGCGCCGGGTTCTTCCAGGCGGAATGTCGCGGTCGCTGTTGATCTCCATGGCTCCAAGCAGCGGTGCACATCATCAGGCACGGATCCACTGCATGCTCTTGGGCTGGTTCCTCCGTCTCCGTATCCTATTCTTCGGCAGAATACCGCCGTCGCTGCTGCTACGATACGACAAGAGGGGTGTATCGAGACTGGAAAGCAACTACGAGTACACCGACAATCGTCACGGACAGGACAACGCCACGAAATCCTCAGCAACCATCCCCTCGTCTCGCCCAAGGAACCATGGAAAAGCGTCGCACCAACTTCTGGTAGTGGAGGACGCCACAACAGCTCCAGCCCCCCGCCGCGATATCATGGATTATTACATGGTACATCTTTCGGGGCAATCTACTCGCCTCAACGGAATCGCCGTCGAGGAGCAGAGATTGAAAAGGGACAACCTAGCTCACAATCAAGCTTAAAATATCGTGTTGAAGAAAAATCTGCGATGTTACTGCTTCAGAGGATACGCGCGGATGAGCAGATCATGGCTGAAGAGGTGGTGCGACTGCGACGTGAGGCTGACCCCAGGGTCATGATTCGCCGTTTCTGGCGTTCCTCCGGGTAAGGCTTGAGGTGAATATTTTTGCTATGGTTCGGTCGCGGTAGCAGGAGAGGCTTTCGGCGGAATGATATGAACACCATGAAAATTACGGTCTTGGGGCCGATACGGTATGGTGCTATTCTGGAATGCTGGCACGCTCCAGGATTGGAGCTACTGTAACCCGGATTTCCATGTCGTGTGAATGGTGCACCCCATCAGGAATACAGACGTCCCGTGCGCTAGTGGGACGTTATCGCGTCTCCATCGCCTAGATAATCGTGAAGCGCTCACACAAATGTCGTTTGGAATGTTCTCACCGAACCTCCAGGCTTCCTTTGGATCACATATTTGCAACCGCTGCGGGCGTGTACCGTCGATCGCGCCTCCGAACTGCGCTCTCAACCTGGCATTCCGTGGCCAAGGCAGAAACCCACCACATCAACTACAGAATCGAGGCAGCAGAAGTCATTCAACGCGCTACACGAGTTTTTATCGCAAGACATACAGCTGAGCGTCGCCGCCGCGTGCGTGGTCCGGCGGTGTTGGCAGCCTCCCGCATGATTCAGGCCGAATTTCGTTCGCGGAAAGCCCGAGTAAAGACTGCTGACGTAGCAGTTCGACAGCAAAACCGACAAGAGCTTCGAAAACGATACTGGTGCGACGAGACTGCGAAAGACGAACAAAGGAGACGAGATGCGTCGACCGTGATACAAGCGGCGTGGAGGGGGGCTGCTGGGCGCGCAGCAGGATTGAATAGGGCACGACGAACGCTGAGGGGGGTGTTGAATGAGCTGGGTGGTGGCCGGGGGCGCATGCACAGGTGGGTGATGGTTTTTCGAGAGGAAAGTGGGCACCTCTTCGTAAGACGTCGGGACACCTCGTGACTTGGCCTTTTTCACTTGCCGCGTTCATTGAAGGCTGCTTCTTCACCGTTTCTGAGGGTTTCCGGTGCAATAGCAAGCTTGGACAACTGGGAAATGCTTATATTTTCATGGCGGCAACCTGTCACACAATTTATGAGCGTTCGAAGGGCGTGCATGGTGCTTCAAACGTCTCAGGTAGCGCATGCTTTTCGGATGGTCTCAATCGCCTGCTTGCCCTCTGATCGCGCTTTCCGATTGACACCACAACTGTGCTTGGAAACATTTGGTGCCCTATGTCAATAGTAGGCTAGTTTGGCATATATGATGGCCAAATTATCTCGAACTTGGGCAAACACGATTTATCATGTACATTTAATGGCTGAAACACTTTTTATTGACATGACAGATTGCATGAGTGCAACGTTCTGACTGGCTGCTTGGAGCATGTGGCGTTGGCAAGAGCTTGTGAAATTGCTCTCCGACTACCGGTCCGGTCTAGGGGGCAAACCCGCGAGGTAAGCAGAGGGTTCCGCTACCGACGATGGCGTACCATCGATCAACGTCATGAGCCCCCTTCTCTTCGGCCGCAGCCACAATCACATATAACCAACACAATCCATCACCGTTATTCACAATTGCCGTCAGGAATTCGGCACCAAAATCGTCACAATCATCAGTTACCAACCGTTGTATTATTTCGGACGCCTCAGGGTCACGATAACGTAGCTCCTGTGCCGAACTATCTCAGGCTCGAGATATAGACAAAATGGCAACAGCTACAGCATGTGTTCGCAACTACAGGCACTGCTTCTTCTCCTGCGATGCCGACTCCTTCTGGATGCTCGTCGACAACTCCGGCAAGAGATGGAGGGGCGGTGGACCAGGCAGGCAGAGGCTTTCTCGGCCTTAAAGGCAGGTCTAGAAGAGGCGCGGAAAGAAGAGGCGCTGCGAAAGGGGCAGTCAAAGAGGTAGGTACAAGATGTCAAGCAAGGGCACTTCATGTTGATGTCGGTGTGAATCTGCGAATCCTCTGTTGCTCTTTCCGGTGTGCACGTACGTAGCATATCGTCTGGGATAGCCTGTCTGTACAACGGAACGAAGCTGCAGCACGCCCAAAACGAAGGTGATCGACTGCATCAACTGAGGGATCGAAGATCAAAATCTAGCCCTTTTCCTGCGACGATTTTTGCTCATTCCGCAGGAAGAAGGACCACGACGATCAGCAAGAGCAACGGCAGATAGAGAGAGAAACACAGATCTCTCAAACCGAACGCAGACTGCGGGAGCTGCGCGAGAAACGAAGGATACATATACGAATTATCGAGGAAAGACATCGAGAGCGGGTGCGTGATCGATTTCAGTTTGCTGCGGACGGAAACGGTTATAATGTGTCGCGGTAATGTTTGTACAAATAGATGGATCCGAAATCGTTGCGCAATAGAGAGGAAGGGCACCACAGCAACAGAGTCACCATGAGGTGCAAGCGGCAAAACATATCACGAGCGTTTGGTGGTGCAACGGGTGTTTGCCGCTCGTTTGAGAGTGAGTGTCTTTGGAGCACCACACGGTGGGTGATGCATCACCCCATGCTTAGGGTAAGGCAATGCTGATCTTCCGAAAATCATCATCGGCACGTTTGCCGCCGCCCCGTTGCCCCCTTCACGCCCCCGACCCGCGGCTCTGTCTGCCCATCGGCGAATCTTCAGTGCGAGAGTTACTTAATGTGGCGAGAGCAGACCAGACAAGAAGCCATCACTAAGGACATCAACGCGAAGAGGAAAGCAAGGTGAGGAACGCACGGTCACTAGCTCGCAGTGTCCCTGTGGCTGCGGTGAAGTATCACGCTATGACTGAGTTCTGGGTATCAGCGCTTGCTTCATTGGGGTCTCGTCAAACAATCCAGAATCACCCATATGAATAAATTATGTCATTGCCACTCATACAACTTCAACTGCATTCGTTCAGAGAATCCCACGAGCTGGTCATGATGAGGAGGGAGGAGCTGATAGCAAAGGAAGCTTGGAAGCTCGACGATGCTGCGGTCGGCCGCGCCACTCAACTTCGTCAGCACGAGGAGCGCATTTTTCGGCTGTTTCAGCAGGATTTGCCGCCTTCCACGGGCTCCGAAGAGCAGAAGGAGTTCGACAGGGGTGCCAGAGCTCGGTCCCTGCCACGAGACCATCGATCAAGTGAGGACCGAACCCACCCCGCATATTAAACCTAGGCCGGTACGTTTCCTTCTCTCTTTTTTGGTTTTCGAATGTTGTTTTTTCGCTGAGGGAGGGTATCGCTAACCACTTGAAGGCAAGATTAGTTTTATCGGGTTCTACGGGCTCCCCGATCTCTGTAGGGCACTCGCTTTATACGAGCGTCCTGAATTGATGTGTTGCCGGTATTGTTTTGCGGCTGTTTGTGTACCCAATACCAAGCCCATTTCCTTTCCCAGGTACGGTCTTCCAGGCAGGGTGGCAGCAACTAGCAGAGTCAGTTTAATGTTGAGCTGCGAATCGATCCCGTGCTCTCGAACTACTGGCGTGGTTGAAAGGCTTCGAAGACAGCTGCGCCAAGAACTTGACCCAACATACGCCCTCGGGCGCACAATACCCTACACGAACAGCACGATGGTCTGCGAACTTCAGTTGGGGTGGGTCTGAATACTTTCTGCCTCCACTTGGTACACGAGCTTCCACTTGTTGATTGTTTAGATATTGGGTTGGGTTACGGATAGGGTACTCCCTTGTACCGCATGAACCAAGACTGCCCCTCCAACCGAGCGCACGCTGTCGGGATTTCCAAACTTTCAGGGAAACCTGAGGCGTTGGTGCTGGACGGCCTGGAGTGCGTCATCGACAGCAAGAGGGTGAAGGCAACGGTTGCTATTCGACCGAGCGATTCTTCTATGCGAGTGTTCAGCCAGGTTCGGGTCGCTTGATGGTTTTCGGATTGTGTAAAAAATGGGTAATTTGGCGCTATGAACCTGCCTGCAGAGATCGAAAGTAGGCAGATTCAATGGGACGGTACCCAATGCGCATTTGATTAGGGAGGCTTGTCACCGCCCTTTCATAGGAATGTGCTTGTTTATACGCAGCAATCGCCAAGGGGTCTACAGAGGCAGTAGGATCATAGGAGAATCATGTACGTCGCATCCCTTTCCACCTCTGGATCGACGTTCAATGCCATTGGGATATGTACCGGGTGCTGCTCTACGAGGGCAAACCATTTCGGAGTAGACGCCGTTTTTCTACGTTCGTGATACGTCACCTGCCGAGGCTTCTCTCCTTGCCTTGTTGGTCGCTCTTCCAAACTTCCACTATCGTTGGCACTACCGCCACAGACAGAGGCCGTGCGAGCCACACAATGCGTCCAAGATACTGCGAGGAAACGTGTGGCGTACTGGGGGGCAAGGTGTGTGCGAAGCCTCTGTCATCATTTTGCGGAGCAGAGGGCTACTCTTCAAGGAACCCGGTTTCCTGAACCCCTAACCTTTGGTGAACTTTTCTACTGTAGAACATCGCACCTGTCCCATTCCCTCTGCCTTAAGCCCCCAGCCCTCCCGCCCTATCCCTCTCTTTGTCTCATATTTGCGTGCTTCTCCTGGTCTTCTTCCCGAATGTGTTGGTTGGATGACCGGCTGATCGACAGGTGTCGGGTTGACGCCGAGCATGCAGCAAGGTTGCGAGGAGAGCATTTTCGCCTACGATGCAAGACCAGAAAAGAGCGTCGCCGGAAGGGAGCGGAGGTGAGCACTTGTGGAAGTACGTAAATGTGGCATTTATGTAGAGGTCGAGCTTTGAAAGCCTTGGAGAGACGGAATAGTGTACTATGCTTGGGCTCGAAACATGTCATCACATGGCGTTCTCGGAAGCTCTTGCTTTGGGTAGGTTGACAACGCAGGGTTGGCAAGGACTGATTTGCGAGGTTGTAGTTTCACCCATTCAAGGTAAGGTTTGCCACGGCAAAACAAACCTGTTTCTTTTCCGTCGATTTGCGCGTCGATGTTTTGCTGGCCATCGTCTCGCTCTCTCTCTCTCTCTCTCTCTCTCTCACTCCCAATACCCTGCACCAACCCGTCCCGGCCAACAGGTTGCGGCGGCGAAGTGCATCGCGGAAGAATCCATCGACCAGCTCCGGAAGGCTCTGAAGGACGCCCGTCGTTCGACCGTCTCACGCGCAATGGCCCTCGCGGTTGCGCTCGGCGTGAGCCCTCCGAAATGCCTCCTGGAGCGACGCGTGTCGAACGAGCACCAAGAGCGTTTGTCGGTGCGAGACGTTACCGCGGGAGGTAGCACTTACCGCTCCACAGCGGCGCGAGTGCTACCCTCTCACATTGCCTCAGGAGGAGCAAAAGGAGCGGGAGCTACAGCGGTGCCGGGCGGCACTGCCGCCGCCGGGGGAGCCCAGAACGATTCTCATCACCGTCATCGTTATCTCCCGGCAGCGGTGGTGCTCGGTACGGAGCCGGGTCACCGGGTTGTCCCCGATGCAAACACCCGACTGTCTCCTAGCAAGCGGGGGATGACTGAAACCAGGTGCTCGGGAGAAGGTCCCACATCGAGCACACGTCCCGGCACACGTCCCAACTCTCCGAAAACAACAGCCCGTCGAAGTGTTTTGCGGTTGACACATCCAACAGCTGTGGAACTTAATAGCTGTGCGACGACTAATACCTCTTCGAAAGCGGTGGTCGAGGCCTCCGATCTGGGCTGGAACCGCGAATGGTGTCGCGCGGTGGATTCCTGGTGCAGAAATACTTCGGCCAGAGCTCGGTCGCGGCTCGCCGGGCAAGTAATAGCATCAGCTAGGCGTTTGCACTGGTTGGCTGGATCACGCCGCAGCCGTACTCATGCTCTTTGCCGCTGCCGCTGCTGCGGCGGTAGTGGCGGTGGTGGTTACATCGACACATCGTCTAGCAGAAATACATTGGCCTGCAGTCACACTGCCCGCACCCAGGACAAAAGCAGCGCTCGGGCAGGTAGCATTCCTTGTAGGTCACGTTCACGCGAGGAAACCAGTCCAGAAGCATGGGTGGCCCTGGCCAAGTTCGGTCAACTGACCGATCTGCTGGAGATCGTGGGAAGCACGGCCGAGCTAGTAGTTTCGGTCCAGATCAACTCGATTGGGCAGGGGAAGCAGCCAGCGGAAGAGGTGCCTGCGTATCAAGAGGAAAATGAGGCGCATGGAAGAGGCCCGATCTCGTCT